TGTTAGAATCCCTGGCACTAAAGACTTCTGGTTAAAGAATTACCTGGAGGCCATTAGGACTCAGGCCTCACATTCCTTAGGACTCAGGCCTCACAATATGAATTTCACAAATCTATTTGGGGACATAGATAAGTAAGTAGAGAAGGCTTCCCAGAAGAGAAAATGTCTAAACTTGAATTCTGAATGGGAACTGGCCAGGTGAAGGGAGGGATGTTAGATTGTTCCAGGTTGTGGCAGTGGCAACTACAAAGTCCAGAGGCAGGAGGGATTGCCAGTTTGTTCAGGCAGTTGTAGAACATTCAGCATAGCTGGAGCCCAGCGCTAGATGATGGTGCAAGTGGAAAGTGTGGAGAAGTGTTTAGGTTAATAAGGGGTTGAAGGAGTTCTCATTTGTTAACTTCTAATTTTCTTGTTGAATTAGGAATCTGGGGCTGGGGCCATATTTCATGTATAGTCATTAACTGAATGACTGGAGAAATTTGGGGCAGAACTACTGACCATAAAACATGTGCCTTCTTCAGCTGATTGTAATGCCTTGATTTCCACTTTTATGATTTTGTCTTTTTCAGGTAAATACACTTTGATTTTCAAATGCGCTTGAAAAAAAAAAAAAAAAAAAGAAAGATCATATAATTCCAGAAGAGTACCTTTTGTAATATAAGCAAGTGATTTTCCAGTGTTATTGGAGAAAAGAGGGAACATCTCTCTAGACTGCCCTAGATGAGTCTAGGTGCCACTCATTCTATATACTCTTGAGTAAGTTCCTTCCCCTCTCTGGGCCTGTCTTTCCTCTTTTGTACAATGAGGAGTTTGTAAAACAGTGCATCTCAGGACACTTCCAGCTCTGACATGTCACGCTTTTCAGCCATTAACACATTGATGGGAATTGTTTTTTCAATGTTTCCAGTCATAAAAACTTCCAGAGCACTCATAGGAATGGGGCCTCCAGGGTAAGTACAATAGTGAGAACGCTAGTTTCAAGTAACAGAAACCAACTCAGTTCACGTAAAAACAGCTTAGATTTAAAAAAAGAATTTGCCTGTAGGATGTGGGGAGGGTGATGTCATGGAATTCTAGGGCAAACATACAGCTGAGACTCAGGAAAGAAATGAAAGTAGGAATTAGCAAAACCTTCAGGGATCATTCACCATGGTGATTTTCCCTTCTTTCTGTGTCTATGTTTCATACATTCCCTTTGCTTTCTGTGCTTCTCTGGTCTACACAGGAGAAGATGGTGCTTGTATAGCCCCTACCTCTACCCCTTTTCTCTCTTCCTATTTAAGATTTCTGAAGGAGAGAGAATCAGTTGGTCCAGGCTGCATCAGGCATGTACTCCTGAACCAGTCTTCTATGGCTGGTGGCATAAGGTTGAGCCTCTTTACAAATTGAGGAGATTGGTAGCTAGAGAATGGGATGGTTGGAATTTAAAAATGTCTGTTCCATCGGGATTGTTTGCATTTAACTGGGGGCAGAGGTCATGGAAGTAGGGGGAATGTGGGCCTTTCTTGCTTGTGGTTTGTCCTAAGAGATAATTAGGGGCCTGTTAAAGTTATCTGCCCATGGAAGGCTGGAGGTGAAGCACAAGCCCCTGGGTATCTGAAGGAATGTACAGGAAGAAGGGGAGTGTATGGTGAATGCCACTCCAGGTCACACTAAGAAAGAAAACCCACTTTCTTGGTCTCTTTGCCTCCTTGTAGCTCAGCCTTGGCCATGGGCTGACTCCCAACAGAAAAACCAAAAGAAGTATTTTTTGCTCCCATTTAACCTAAAATGGGAAAAGAAGAATTGAATGTCTTTGCTAATAAGGAAGCCTCAGAGTGGAGTTGAGGGATGTGGTAGGGCTTCTGATCATAGTCCCTCATAAATGAGGAGGCCTATCAGAAACCCAAGGAGGGGTCGCTATGCGTCGGGTCCGACTCGATGGCACATAACAACAACAACAACAACAACTGAAACCAAGTCTGAAAGGTCAGAGTAAGGGAACTGGTTTAGGTGGAGTAGGGGCTGCCTGATCCCATTCCAAGGTGTCTTCATCTCTCAGAGAAACTTTCTATTTCTACTTCAGAGTGAAAGTGTCCAAACACCAAGAGTTCAGGATTCCAGACGACCATCAAGATGGTGGGTGAAGGCCCCTACCTTATCTCAGATCTGGACCGGCGAGGCCAGCGGAGGTCTTTCTCTGAGAGATATGACCCCAGCCTGAAAACCATGATCCCAGTACGACCCTATGCAAGGTAAGCCAAGATGAGGCTTGGAGGCCTTGAAACAACGGGGTAGGGGTGAGGCAGGGCCAGGAAGAACCTCCAGGGATTGGGAGAGTCAGCTTGCTTCTGTTCCCCATGTTGCTGTCTCTGTCTGTCTGTCATTTTTTCCCTCCATCTATCCATATATTTATTCATTTACCAACCACTCATTTTTTGCCTCCTCTTGGTTTTGGATGAGAAGTAGACAGTAGCTAATGTTTAAGGATAACTTTGTGTATGTCAGGCCCTATTTAAGTGTTTTATAAACATCTTATTCAATCTTCACAATCACCCCAGAGGTGCTGTGATCACCTTCATCTGATAATTTCAGAAACCAAGGAACAGAGAGTTTAAGTCACTTGTCCAATGTTCAAACCAAACTCATTACCATTGAGTCAATTCCAACTCATAGTGACCATATAGGGCAGAGTAGAACTGCCCTATGGGTCTCCCAGGCTGTAATCTTTATTGAAGCAGACTACCACATCTTTATCCATTGGAGCAGGCTGGTAGGTTTGAACTTCCAACCTTTCGGTTAGTAGCCAAATTGTAGCTTTTCTTCTGTAAGAAATCACTCCAATTGTGGCTTAACACAATTGTCATTTATTTAGCTTCAGATTCTCTGATGAGGCAACTTGGGCTTGAGCTCAGCTGGGTGGTTCATCTGGTCTTGACTGTGCTTATTCCTGAATCTGTTGGTCGTCAGGGTGGCTGTGCTTCTGAGGGCTGGCTGACTGTTTTTTAGGGCAATATGGGCCAACTGGCTCATGTGGGCTCTCGACCTCCAGAATGCTACTCTGTGCTTGGTCACAGAGCAGTGCAATAGGCTTCCAAGAGAATGAGTGGAAGCATGCAGTGCTTCTTGAGACTTCTGCTCAGAACTGGCACATCATTCTTCCACTGTGTTCTGTTGGCCAAAGCAAGGTTAGCCCATATTCAAAGTGTGGGGATATGGACTCAAACGCAGCAAAGATTGTGAGGATGGTGCAACACCAAACAATGTTAAATAAAGTCTCTATATGTTGGAACAGACTGGACAGCAATGGACAACAACAAGCTTATTTGGGAGGTTATCCCAGGAAGTGGAAGCTCTGGTGGCGTAGTGCCTAAAGCACTTGATTGCTAACCAGAAGGCTGGCGGTTCAAACCCACCAGCCACTCCTTGGAAGGAAGGTTGGGCAATCTACTTCCATTGTGATACCACCTTGGAAACCCAAGGAGGGGTTGCTATGAGTCAGGTCTGACTTGATGGCACATAATGACAACAACATCCCAGGAAGCAGAGGAGAGATTTAGGGAGAGTAAGATAGGGAAGGAGGAAAAGGCAGTATGAGGATGTGCCAGTGATGTCATTGCTATAGTCCATGGGTACTGGATTCTGCTAAGTCATCCTACGTGCACAGTTTCCCACTGAAGAGTGGAAGGAGAAGGCATTTATCCATGGGGTCCTGTCCTCCATTAGTTAAGGTTTGCCTCCAGAGCCATTAACTCCCTGCAATTCTGGGCTGCATTTACATTCCTGGGAAGGCCCTGAAACAGAAGGTGAAAAGAGAAACAGCATACATTTGAGATGGGATGCTCTCAGCATGAGTCTGACCTTGTACAAAACTCTTCTACACTGAGATCAGAGGTGAATGTGAAAAGAGGCTGTGACTTAGGGTACCTTTTCAGCTTCTACAAATATAAGTTCTTACAGGGTCTGTGCACACTCAACAATTGGTAGATATTACTCTATGCCTCTGACTTTTATTCCCTCTCAGATGATTTCTTTCTCAAGGGCAAAAACAGTCTTTTCTTTCATTTTCCCTTCTTTTCCTCATCTTCTCCCCACTCCCTGCCCTTCTTGCTTTTCATTTTCCCTTTCTTCTTTCCCCTGCCTTTTCCTCCTCCTTCATTATCTGATAGTTAATACTTATGTGGGAGTTCTGGTGGTGTAGTGCCTAAGGCACTTGACTGCTAACCAGAAGGCTGGTGGTTCAAACCCACCAGCCACTCCTCAGAAGGAAGGTTGCATAAATTTGAATAGTAGTAGTATTAACAGAG